GTGCCTGCGCGCGGCTGTGCGCGGAGGAGGGGGGGGGGGGGCGGCGGGCGCGGGGCTGCCCCGCGGGGCGCGGCGGGGGTGGCGCGGGGGCCGCGCCCACGGCGGAGCACATCGAGCCCACGGCAGAGCCCACCGCCCCCGCGGCCGGCACGGGGGGCAGAGAAGATGCAAGTCACCCTGACGAGCCGCGGCTCCGGCCCCGGGGGCTCCCGCGGCCTCGCAGCCCGCGCGGAGCGGGCGGGCGCGACAACGTCGCCGGTGCGCGAACGAGGAACGGGGCGGAAAGCTCTCCCCAAAATGATACAAGACGTTTTCCGTGGCCCTCTCTCCTCAGCCTTTTAATAGCCCCTTGTCAAGTGCGTGTGTGACAGGGCACAACCCCGGCAGCCGCCCGGCGCTCCCCGGTGTGCGGCGGGAGCGGGGAGCCGCCAGCCTCGGCTCCCACCCCGCTCCCCGGCTGCCTCATTAACATTCCCTTCCCCACTTGCCCATTGGCACAGTCTAATTGAAATGCAGAGAGAGGAAAAGTCTGTCATTTAAAGTGAGCTCAGGATGCAGACAGACAAGGAAACAAACCTCGCTTTTTTTTCCCTCCTCAGATTGCATTACTTTCTGTTGTATTCTCTTTTAAAGTACGTTGCCCTCCTTTCGTATATGCAGTCCTCCTCTGCTAGTAACTGGACCGCTGCTAGGGTTCATTCCCATTGATTTCAGGTTTTCCAGAGCAAGTAGAACAGGACAGGCTTGATAATTAAAGATAAGGGTTTATATTTAGTGTATCCTCATTTTGCATTGTTAACTCGGAAATAATTAAATAATACTGGCAGTAATGTTTCAGCTTTTTATTTCTTTTTAAACCATTACCCATCTATCTCCTCTTCTTTCACTCTCTTAGCTGCCCAAAGCACCAGTCTCAGTTATCCTCTCTTTATGTCACTGGCCTACCTACTTACTGCATTTTGACTGAAGTTGTTTTGATGAGGTTTGCTTCTGAATCAATAACAGTTCCAAAATGAACATGTGAAATTGGATGCACAGACATTGGGGGGGAGATAGGAAAAGAAGAAATAAAAATTTCTTCAGTTACCTATAGAATCAACTACTAAAAATTGGAGGATTCTTTTTCCTACTCCTCTCTCTGCTGTTTTACATTTGTTTTCTGCTTCCCAATTATTGAAACTTGCAACTGGAGGTGTCCTTGTTTTCCTTTTTCTTTAGTGGCTTAATGACTCTACAACAGAGCATGAGAAACAAAAGAAGGAAGAAAAGCCCTTGGGCTGTCAAGACAATTTGTTACTTCCAACTTTGAGGTATTTCATAACTAGCAGTAAGACTGGGAAGAGAAAGGGAATGAGCTGAATGGCTTTGTTTTAAAATAACCAGTAAAACGACAGCCCAAACTGTGGGAAGTGACACAGATAAAGACACAAGTGCAGACACTGAAATCTGAAGAACACTCATTCAGCAGCTAACTAACCCTGGTTGTGTCTAAAGTACAAGGCCCTCCTCTTTCCCTGTCCAGATGTGAAATGTGCTCTGTTCATTGTCAGTTGAGAATCAATGGTCAATCTAAAGTCTTCTTTGGATCTTTCTGTAAATTCCATGTATTAGGAATTAGCAACTGATACTAAATGCAGAATCAACCCTCACAGTAAAGAAAACTAGTTTAAATTACTTGTCCTAAGTAAGGGTGACTTCACAAATATTAAAATGCAGGAAAAAAACCCAAACACTAAAAGTGAAGAATCTTCATGATTTACTGTTATTGGAAATATACTGTTTAATCAAAGCAGAATATTTTTTCCATGGGTATTTATTGCATTCCTTTCCAAAAACACACTTCCAGTAATTATAATACTGAAACTATAATCTAATTTTCATATGTGAGTTGCACCAAAAAGTAGAAAAACACTGACATTAAGGAAAGCAGTTACAGTGGCTCCATGTTGCTGTGATAGCATATTGTCATTCTTCAAAGGCCACATGGGGTAGGTATGTATTTATAATGAGCTTATGTTCACAGCCTTCCCCAAGAAAAATGTACTGGGTTTTAGGCTCTAATCACAATTATTACCTATGATGTTCTTTGAGATTTACCATAGCTTCATACGCTGAAGTCATGCTTCAAATTTGAAACTTGAAAATAACTTCTCATTCCCACTTTAGACAAGTTGGACAGCCCTATGGGGCATCCCAAATCACAGGGAAGCTGAGTACAGAGACACACAGACTACTGTGGCAGTGTGAGAAATCAGAGGCAATGTAATTACTAACAGAGAGAAGGTTTGTTACGCTAGTCCTACATGCTTATAACTTGTGCTGCCGAAGAACTGGAAAGCGTTTGGGGAGAAAAGTGTGGTAGTGGTGAGGTTTTATTGGTTTTTTTGGGTTACATGCAAGCACGGCTCACAAATACTAGATGTGTTAACTCTCGTCAGTTAGAAACAGTGTGCTTTGGTCCTCTCAGGTGCACAGTCAGCAGGGAACCTTCTCTTCCCTTCTGCATTAATATTCGTGGTGTGGTATTGAATGCTGTCATTCACTACTGAATTTCAATTAGCTCTAAGTGATATGCGGCATCCAACACATCACTAGGGTTTGTGAGACGCTTCTGAGTCCTGATGCAAGTGCCCTGGAAGGTAGGGAATCATGGCCTTGGTTTGAATAGGACTTGAAATAGTCCACTGGAGGCAGTATATTTGCTGAAATATAGAAATAGAATTCAATTCTTATTTTGATATTTAAAAAATCTTAAAAACAAACAAGGGATTTTACAATCCTATTATTCCTCCTTGTCAAGGATCTCAAAACTGTGCACAGGCTGATAAATGATGTTTCACAATTCTTCTGTGAGATTTGAAAGACTTCATATGTGAGCACAAATTGAATAGCAGGGTAGGTATGTGACATTTCATAAGCACTTCTTACAGTTTAGAGGTAATAGAAACACAAGAGAGGTTAAGCCCAGGCTAGTCATTATCCAGACTGCAGAACACTAGATTGAATACTTCCTTTGAAATAGTGCTTAAAGGAATCCTTTATATGAAAAAGTTATACCATTCTTCAGGCAAAATAAATTACTCAAAACCAATACCTTCAATTTGTAGCCACTAGGGAGGTGACAGTAATCATTTTCTGTCATGGACATAATCAAGCAATGCAAAACAGAACTTAACACACAATGCCGATCTGGGGTACATTCTGCAACATAACAGTTACAGACAAAAAATTTGGCAGATTGAGGTAATCATCATTTACTTTGTACTGCCTGAGAATAATACTCACCCTTATATCTAGGCCAGCAGCACTCTGAGCTGTAAGTAGTCATTGGAGTTCAATGAAGTGATGTATATGTGTGAAAATTACAGAATCACTGGATACTCTGAGTTGTAATGGACCCACAAGGATCATTGAGTCCAACTCTTTAGTGAATGGCCCACACAGGGATCAAACCCCTGTTTGACTTTGGTGTTATTAGCATCATGCTCTAAACAATTGAGCTAATCTCAGCATCCAAATTGAATTGATATATCAGAAAATTTTGTATGTGATATAGCAGTGGATTTTTTTAGTAAAAATTATGCTTTTTATTTTTTTATCTCTAATAACACATAAAACATATCTCAATATGATATTATTTTTAATAGACTGTTTTATTTATCCTTTTAAAATTTCTATTTATATTAATTAGTTAAACATCCGTGTATAAATGCAAGTGTTCGAGATGTGTATCCAAGATATAATTTCTGTGCAATTTTAAACACGTATATTATTTTATTTTATTTCTGTAAATAATGACAAAACAAAACATTGAAGGGGGGAATTAGTTTTGACCAAGTCAGTCCCTAGACTGATTCATCATGCAGGTACATGAACATTAATCTGAGCAAAAAGAAGGGAAAAGAAGCCTCTTTTCAGGAGCAGCTCCACATTATGTCCCAAAGAATGATGATGGAAATCAGATTTCTGTAAGAAAAGAAGATTTGGGTCTCCTAAACTCTTCCAGTCACTGAATTTATGCAAGACTGCACCCCAAATTCCTCAGGTGAAATTATTTTGAAATGTACCATTCAACAGTAGATGCTAGTATAATAAACAAGAATTCAAGAAAAATCTTACAACTTTATACAGTACTCCCTGTTGTAAGTTCCTGAGCAACTTTTAATCTTCAGAGTTTTCGATCTGACTGTGACACTCATGGATTGGGAAGAGCTGCTGTGCTTGTTCAAAAGCTCTAGCTATCATACAGACTTTGTGATTGAAGAACAAAAGTAAGGGGCCAGTGCCAGCTTTATTTCAACTGCGTGTAATCAGCTTGAAGTTACTTTCCAATGTGCACTGGGAAGTTCAGCAGAACAGGAAATTGAAATGAGCTTTCCCACCTTAAATATTGATGAATGTTTTTTCTTTCCCAGGATTATACTTCTCCCAGATTTGAAGCTTAAATACCACGTGAGGATTTTTAGTTTTCCCCAAATGCACTGAGATCTAAAGAAAAAGTGAGCAGAGACTCCTTGCTGCTAGTAGCAGTGAGAATTACATCATCCTTTTTGAGT